CCCCCCCCCCCAAAAAACACCCCCCCCCCCCCCCCGGGCTATTCAGGGAGAGCCCGGGGAAAGCAGCTTCTTCACTGCGTTCATACCAGCAGGTGGCAAGTTCTGGGGTGTCAAATGCTTTCCTCCTGGGAAAGAGTAAAGCCACTGACTCTTTGCAAATCACTTTTCAATGGAGCCAAAAGAAACACAGAACCAAAGGGTTTAGATGTGCACCAAAATCAGCTGAGGGGACCCCACCTCAGGGGAGCAGACTACGCTGGGACAGTTCCAGGGACATCAGTGAGCATTCGTGGCTCAGATCCTTCACCAAGATGCAGTTTTTCCCGGGGAAGCCAGTTTCATGGGCTTCCCAAGGAGAGCAATGGGATGGGAAGCACCGAGTGCCTTTGGGAGCAGAATTTCACTAAGAGGCTTTCACTGAGCCACGAGGCACAGACGACTTTGTGACTGGAAGCTGAAGCCAGATAGAGTCAGGTTTGGAGGAGGCTCATGTTGTTAACAGCACAGGTAATTAGCCACTGGGGATAATTAACAACTTAACCACTACTGAGGGTAATGAACAAACTTACCAAGGCTGCAGCACAGTCTCCATCACAAGGAGGCTTTCTTAGAAGGTCACATTACCTAATCACAGTCCCAGAGAAGTGCTCTGGCCCAAGTGCAGCAAGAGCCTGGGGGAGCCCAAGGCATTTCTCGTGTTGAGGTGATCACAATAAACTTTCCCGGGCTCCGCAGACGACAGCAGGGCCAGGAGCCCACCCAGGACTGGGGTGGGAGGGACCCGGGGTCATCTCCTGCCCTCCACCCCAGGTTTGTGTCTGCTGACTGACGCTGAGCCTCAGCTCCAGACCCTTCCTGCAACCACCCTGTGGTTGTCTGGTACTTAAATACCTGCTCGGGCTCTGGGGAGAACCAGAGCGTGCCCACAGCCCAGGAGGGAGTCCGCAGCCCAGCACTGTGGTCCCGAGAGGTGGGGGGGTCCCTGCATTTCAAAGGCAGCTCTGACATTTTACAGGGTCATGGCATTTCTAGTTCCTGAAATACCACTGAAGTGACAGAGGGCAAAGCACAGCAGCCAACCCACCCTCCCCAGGAATTAGAGCATTTGGAAATGCTTTCCCCCTACCTGTTTGTGCATTTCAATATTCAGCCCGTAGGACATCTCGTAATACTGTAGAGTTGGGGAGAAGAGAACAAAAGAAACTGTAAGTCAAGTCTTCACCAGGTAAAGCAGCTCCGCACAGCAGGGCTGGGGACTACTAGTGCTTTCCTAGCAAGGTCTTCTACAAAGGCTGGGCAAGGATGGAAGGAGAAGAGGCCAGCCCCAGGACGCAAAGAGAGCAGGAGGCAGACGCAGAGACCCTCTCCAGGCAAAGGCACCGAGCACTGCCCACCCTGCTCCAGCCTCACACCGCTGCAGACAGAGACCCCGGAACTTGCCGACTGGGTCCCATGAAACACCCCACACAGACACCTTTCGGCAGCCTGCATCAAGGTGAGCAATGCTGCCTCAGACCTGGAAAAAGACTCAGGAATCCACAGACCTCCACATCCACGGCCAAGAGACAAGCAGCCTGACTTTCCAGGCTTTGCCTGGCTGCTATTGTGGCTGTTTCAGCAGCAAATGGAAGAGATCACAACTGAGCTTCATCTAACAAGTAACACATCCAGCTGCACAGACCCAGCTGTTTGGGAAGAAGCTATGTGGGAAAAAAAAAGAAACACACAAAAAAAAACCCACCCAGAAAACCCACACACAGCAGCAATAGGCAGCTACAGAGCAATCTGTTGGCAGGAGAAGCTAATTCCTGACCCCTGGAAGAAGCTGTTTTAAGGCTGATGTTTGAGAATTTAGACAACTCCTCCTTCAGCTTGCAGGCTGCAATCCTGATTCTTCCAAAGGGAAAGAAAAATCCACATCTGCGCTCATTTAATTCAAGATCACTGGCATTTTGATACCGACGCCACAAGTCTGAGAAGCACCCAGCTTGGTATCGCCATGATCTCAGTCTGCTCAAACACCGCCACTGGCTCACGAGGCTTCTTTGCATTCTGAAGACTGAGCAGGAAGCGGGAACCCGACCCCCAAGCTGCTAATTGTGACTTATTCAAAAATCAGAGCAGCTGTAGCAGCTTTGCACATTCACAGAAACCCTCCTCTCTGCTTCCCGTGACTCGCTGTGCCGGGGAGCGACAGCAGCTCTGTGCGGCTCCAGCTCAGCCACGCAGAGGAGGCAGGAGCTGCTGCGCCTGCAGAGCCTCGAGTGCTGCACAACAAGCAATAGCCCTTCCCCTCTGCTGCCGACGGGAAACTGAATCAATTCTGGTGACTGTCAGCATTAAGGGGAAAAAAAAATAAAATTCAGCCACACCTGGAGATGAGAGTCTCCACACAGGCTGTGAGGCCCAGGAAGCAATCATTAAGTGGCAAGAATGGGGCGGGCTTCCCCACTAATATACAAGGAAAGCTGTGACCTCTTCTCCTTAGCCCCAGCCCCAAGCAGGCCAAGCTCCCCACAGCCTCGGAGCCTGGACACACGGGCAGTACAGGAGGACGGAGGGGCCAGCTCCCTTATTTCTGTTTTTAAAGTCCTAACTCTGCTCTGAAGAGCTGCTGTATTAATTTCTACACCTTATCTCTTCCTTCCAGGGCAGGTGCAGCAGCTGGCAAGCAGGCACCAGCTCATCTTTATGGTCAGCACCACAACCTCCCATTAACTCCTTGATAGGAAAGGAACAGAGCAGCTTTGCCTGGCATCCCTCCTCTCTGCTCCAACGGCTCTTCCACACGTGGGAAGACAGAGCCGTTACCTGGCGGGCAAACTGTCACCCTGCCTACCAGAACAGGGCTGTTTCCTGGCAGATTTCTCTTTGGAGAGTTATGGCTAAGCCTGCTGCCCACACGCAGCATCACATCCCACGGCTTCACCAGGCACTGCCTGGGATTTGCACACTTTGTGCTGGGACACGCACACCAGGAGACATGCTCATACTTAGCAGCCGGACTCCGCGAGGCTGCCGGGGTCAGGACAAGGTGCAGAGGGTTCAGCTCCTACCAGGCTTGTGGGGCTTCCCAGCCTCACGACTTCTTGGAGGACTGCTTTGTCTCCCCCGATGTTCCCAGGCACCCACACACCAGCACCTCACAGCTCTTTCCTGGGCACGCAGGAGCTGTCACCTCCCCAGGGCACAGGGAGTATGGACAAGCGGCTGGTCCGCGCCAACGACCCCATCACCACCCACCACACAGTCAGACACTGGGGCCATCAGTTCTGTGTCCAACAATTCTCTGCTACTTCCCCACATTTCACAAACCCACAGCATGCGGACAACACAAAATATAAAAAAGCCCCACTTTCAGAAAAGCCAGTGCCAGCCTTGCCCAGAGACCTGCCTCTGCTCGGGGCGAAGGCTCCTGCTCACTGCTGGCGTCCCACCATGAGCACTCGGCTGCTGGGGACAGTCCTTACCATGACGTAGTGACGCTGCATCTCCGATTTCTCACTGGCTAGTTTGTCACATTCCAACTTCAAGCTGAAAAGCCAGAAAACAGTAAGAAAACCACAAACAGGAGGTGAGAGAGTTGATCGCCACAGAGCAGCTGCTTCCTGCAGGGCCCCGTCGTGGCCAGGCTGGGGACACCACCGTCCAGACTGCAAGGAGCGTCCAGAGCCAGGTCACCCTGTGCTGGCACCGCAGCCAACACAGCAGAGCGTGCTCCCACCCTCCCAGCCGGAGTCCCACCAGCACACATTCAGGAGAAGTGGCACACGGCTATTCACCGGCTGGACACTGACCTCCCCCTGGCAAATCTCGTCAGCCAGGAGCAGAAAACTGGCAGAAGCAGAGGTGGCCGCCCAAGGAGGGGTTTGCCTGTCCTCAACTGGCCACTGGCAGCTGGGGACGGCTTCTAGCACAGGCTTGTCGGCAGCACTCAAGAGAAGCTGCAATGCAACTTCCACACCACAGCCAGACCCGTTTCTGGATGGTGGGGGGAAGCCCAAGTGCAGCACATCCCTCCAGAAGAAAGGATTTTTTTCTCTCCCGTAGGTTCTTCACACCCTTCAGAGAAACTGCCGCTGCTCCCAGTGTTTTATGAGACTCCAACTCACCAGCCGAGCAATTGCAGCTGGCATGTGCTGCGGTTTTATGTTTCAAACAAGAAACAGCTTCACCTACACAAAACCTGCTTCTTTTCGAGCAGATTAAGTCCAAGGGGGTGGGGGGACAGCCTCCCTTCCAGCAGGGCTGCTTCTTGGGCTCCCCTGCTGCTGCGCTGGCACTGCCCAGAGATATGGGGACACCAGAAAATAGCCACTTCCCAGCAGTTTTTCTGCCCGCTCCTGCCAGAACACCACCACCTCGGGCCTGTGACCCAGCCGCCCAGTGCAGCCCCGGCCAGGGAAGGCAGACGGGGAGGTCGCAGCCCCACAGCCGGGGCACCGACCACAACCAGCACCTTGCAGCCTGCCAGACTGCGGCAGAAGTCATCACCCAGTCGATTTAACCCCAAAGGTTCATGTTTATTTCAGACACACACACACAGCAACAAGGCAGCTTTCAGGTCAGCAGAAGTATTTCCACACGCACCCACAGAAAAGCGGAAGCTTTTGGTTTAAGCGCTCCCTGCAGCATTCGCCGTCCAAGAATGGCAGCCAGTGAGAAAAAATGAGGAAAACTCCCAGCAAGACAGGGGAGGCCTGGGGAGCTCTGCACGGCGCTGGCCAAGCAGCTCTGGGGGGGCAGAGACATGTTCTTCTCGCCGGGATCCCGAGCGGACACAACCCACGCCCTGCCTTAGGTCCTCCTCCAGCCAAAGGTGACCCAAACCACCTGCCCGGGTCCCCTCCTCGGCGCTCCCCTTCGGTCCACGCAGGGAAACAGCGGGATCAGAGCAACTCCTGCGTGCGGTGCCGCCGCTGCCGGCCCGGGGGGGGCCGCGGGAGCACCTACCTGTGGTACTGGGCCTGCAGGAGCTGGAACTCATCCTTGATGCGGTCGCAGGAGTCGGAGGTGGTGAACTTCAGCTGCTGCGGCAGGTGAGAGGAGCCCTGCAACGAGGGGAGACGGCGCTGGGCGCGGGGCCGGCCCCTACCGCTCCCGCCGCACCGGGCAGGGCCGGGACGCCTCGCCCGGCACC